CTAATAACGAAAACATTTCGCGTAAAGAATCTACGTAATATTCTGAAATTAGTTTTACAAAGTATATTCCAATAGCAACCATCCCAGCCATTACTTAAGTTGAATTTTTCAGAAACATTTGACTTAGAAATCAACAACTTTTACATTGCACGAAACACTATTTACAAAGAGTGCACAATGACCTAATCAAAAATACATCACTGGTTTTCATGAGCTCATAACATAATATCTCATCTTTTAATAAATATACATCATCTGTTTAAAGAGCAGTTTTCAAACTTAATTCACCAGACTTGACTTTGAATTTCATCAACTATGAAACTTCTGTAATTATATCTACAAAATTCGTCTGATGTAAACGTAAACTATACGTGATTTTTTGTAACTTTTAGGCGTTCAAGTATATTGTTCAGAAACGTTCTTTTAAGCAACCTTATCAGCAAATACAGACAAATGTCATGACTGGAATGTCAACAAATTTTTTCTCGACCGAAATGTCTCATTCTGATGGATAACTTCAAATACGACCATGATTTGAAGAGAATGTATGTAATACATTTGTTTCAAGGTCTTTTTTTTTAATAGTGTATTACGGGCGTGAACACGTTTTTAAGAACCGATCTTTGCTAAGGTGTGGCCTTTATGAAGACTGATTTTTATGTAATCTGTCATACTCTGATTAGAGACCCGATGAAAGAGTATTAATAAGTAGGAACCAAAAAACAGAACTTAAAAAATTTGGAATATAAAGATTAAAAATTCCTTTTTAGTAGCTTTTTTGTGTGCATCTCTGTGTGTGTGTGTGTGTGTATTGTTTAAGTTTGTTGATAAACGCAAAACAGCACAATGGACTATATTTGCTGTATCCATCGAAGGAACAAACCCAGAATTTTAACGTTATAAGCTCTCAAGCTTACCAGTGAGCCTCCTAGAGAGTATATATTATATTACAAATAATTAAAGTGTTAAAAAAGAACGTATATACATATACGTTTTTAATGTGCAAAGAACCGTCTCTCTCTATAGCATAAGAACCAGGCGTGACTCAGTGCTTAGCGTGCGTGATTGCGAATGCGAGTAGTTTATAGTTCGCGTCCTGTTGCTGTAAAATCGCGCTCTGCACTTTGGGGGCAGCGAAGCGCTATAAAAGTGACGACCAAATCCCGCTATTCGATTAGAGTAGCCCAACGATTCTCAAATTGTGGATCGCAAGAAATATTCAAGGGGATCTCGAATACTTGCATAATTGTAAAGCGGACATCACTTTTGGTGTAATAAACAGTTTCATTCTTTTTTTTTTCCTTTTAGAAAAAAGTACGATAATATTTTGAATTAATGCTAATATTGATCCTACGTTCATCTTACTCTCTAGCCTGAATTAATGCTAATATTGATCCTACGTTCATCTTACTCTCTAGCCTGAATTAATGCTAATATTGATCCTACGTTCATCTTACTCTCTAGCCTGAATTAATGCTAATAGTGATCCTACGTTCATCTTACTCTCTAGACTGAATTAATGCTAATATTGATCCTACGTTCATCTTACTCTCTAGACTGAATTAATGCTAATATTGATCTACGTTCATCTTACGTTCTGGACTG